AAATGAATGCGGCTGAATTACCTCTAGTCGGCTATGACACTTCAAACTCACTTCAGCCATATCTAAAACGATGGAAATTGACAGCTTAAGTATCCTGATGTCAACAACATTTAACTAGTTATAAGCGCATCAGTGTTCGTCCCGTATAACCAAAGATGCCACCTATACGTGTCTGGGCTTAGTTTGTGTGAATATAAAATAGATTCTGATACAGCAATGACGCATGTCGACAGCAGTTACTTAGCAAAGCATCCGGTATCTTTAACCTCGCGCAGATTCGCGATCCCCACAAGATTTTGTTAGGATCTTTTTCAGTCATGTTGTGCAATTTTTTTGCCCAACTTTTTCAGTGGCCCGTGGACATCCATTGCGCGTGTTTTGACATCAAAAACATGTCCCTAGCTTTTCCGGTTTCGGAGGAGTTGCGGCCCTTTTAAGAACACTGCACGGCGGCGGCCGCACGTACAGCCAGCGTGGGCGACGGGCGGCAACCGACAATGCCGCGGAACGCGCGCGGCGGACCCACATTGTTACATTAACGGAGCCATTTATATATATATATATATATATATATATATATATATATATTTATTTATATATATATATATATATATATATATATATATATAGTTCCGCTGATACTTAACCATATACTTAACACCTAATACTGTAATAAATTGAAATGAAAACAAAAAATGCTTAAAAAACAAAAATATGGAATATTGCGCTCAATATTGAACAGGGAACACGCCCGTTTAGGTTTTTGTGTCACCACGGGGCGTGGTCTCGTATGCATGATGTAAAGCTGAAAAAAATGTGATTCTGTGGAAAACTTGGCATTTTGCCTGACATGGCAGGGTAAGGTTCAGACCTGGCAACATAAGGCTGGTCTCAGTCGCGAGATCGCAGTGAGACCAAGCCACGGTCTTTGTCCGTTGAGCTTCATATTTTGCAGTTTGGAAACGGCAGAGGCTGTATCGACACCCGATCAGGCCGCGTTATAAAAAAAACGGCGAGCCAGGTCTGAGGTAAAAAGAAAGTGCTTGACATTTGTGTGGGATTTTGAGCTGAAACAGCTATCTTGAAGATCATTCGGTGCAGTTCCCAGCCCCCACATAAGCCCCTTTAGTTTCTGAGCTACACGCTCACTGAGAATTGCAGTTCTGGGCAGACTATTCTGGGTAGACTATTCTAATGTCACCCAGGCATCCATGACACCATAATAATGCCACTCATATCCTGCCATTCCATGAGCCATACGACAATCAAGCCCCAAGCAAAGTTTTTGAGCCATTTACACCTGGCATTAGTGAGCATGATTTCCAGATATACCGACCGTTAATCGGCAATCAATGAATGTTGTGCAAGGTACTATGACGTCATCAAACAATGGCGTATTGAAAAAGGAACAATGGCATATTTACTTTTAACATGAGTTTGGATAGGTGTCAACTTGCTGCTCACAAGGTCTCCCCGGAATAACTTCCGAACGGCGCGGTGTAGCCGCTCAAATCGTATGAAGCATTGAGATGTACTTCGTAAGGTCACTGACCTACGACAGGTCAAAGTCAGGCCATAGATTCAACGACGACAGTCTGCGGGAAACTCTTCAATCTAATGCAACAACGGAGTGTTGCATCAGGTTGAAGCCATACATCTCTGTGAGAGTTCGTTGGGAAGCACAGCAACTGAGTTCACAGTGGATCTATGGGCAGGTATAAAGGTCACAGGTCACAAAACCAGCGTGTTTTATTACCCTAGACTTTGCTATATGAGGTAGCATTTGGTGCTTGTTTTGAATTTTTCGATAACAGGAACCGCATTATATATTTTCCATTGTTTCTTGCATACAAGCGTAGGTCAATGACCTAAAATAACGCAGGTCGACAGTCTGCTTTTAGGGACATACTGTCTAGCATAATCCTTGAAGCTTATTCAGATGCAAAAATCAAAGCAGTCTTGTATGATTCTGTTCGACCATGACCTTCAAGAAGGTCACAGAAGTCTTCAAGGAGTCACACAAGAATTCGCACAAGGTTACTGTAATTTAATTGACCATTGCCCACCATTGACCTTTTGCTTACTGGAAATTAATGAGCACCATTGACCTTTTGCTTAGAACGGGCATCTAGGCTCGCGGTGGTCGCATGAGGTCTGGGGGCACTTGAGACACCAGTCTGGGGTTTGACCTTGTTTGACGCTATTTGACCCGACGGTCGTGGCCCAGGAATCTCATACCTTGACCTTGAAGTGAGTTCATGTACGGACTAAAAAACCGTGGGAAATAGGCGTCTCCAGCTTTCTCGGTTTTTGAGGCCTCAAGGAGCTCAAAATGCCCCCCGCCCGGGGGAAGGATGATCGACCGGCCGCGCGCACGTGTGTTAACAGACAAATTGGGTTGCCAATATCAGTCTTTTTCACTTAAAAGTATACCCAAAGTAATGAGTGAGCTTATTTTTGATGACGCTTTATGGTTGTTTCAGTATCTTTTGATAATGCGTAAGCGCCTCTGATCCTTGGATCAGTATCTTCTGATGCTTGGATTCGTCTGATGCTTGGTTCAATATCTTCTGATGCTTGGATTCGTCTGATGCTTGATTCAGTATCTTCTGATGCTTGGATTCGTCTGACGCTTGTTTCAATATCTTCTGATGGTCGGATTCGTCTGATACTTGGTTCAATATCTTCTGGTGCTTGGCTACTTCTGACGCTTGGTTCCATATCTCCAGATGCGGAACATTTCCTTCAGTTGAGAAGAGAACCCGGCCCGATCGGTCTCCGGTCACACGAATTTACTTTTACTTCCTACTACTTTTACTTACGAAGTAATCAGTGCAGCTCGGTGCACTTGCACCTTCACCCTTGCTGTTGGGCCGACCTTGACCAGACCTTGACCTTGACCAGAGGAATGTCGAGGGCACTCATCGTAGAGACGCCAATGAAAGGCGTTGAAGAGGAGCAAGAAGTAAGCCCACCTCATTCATGCATCCTGTTTAATGCTGCCCCCTAGGGCCATCTGAAGCCAGTATGCTAAGTACGCTGACGAGGGTAACGTGCATCTTCCTTGGAAACTTGCACCTACCGACAATAGCTCGAGCCCATGTGCACTGGGCAGGGAAGTTGCCCTCCGGTTCAAAAGAAAGCCCATTTTCAAACGACGTATTTATTGTTGCAATGTTTAACCACCACCAGCAAGAGATCCGCAGTAGTGACACTGACGCCTTCTCATGCGTGCCTTTCCGTCCAGCCCGCGACGGTCAGGTTGCCGGCTTTTATAGGACGCACATTAAGGTGGGGCACCAAGGTCACCAAGGTCACCAAGGTCACGGCCGCAGCGTGCGTAGCCCCAACGCCGGTGCGTCGTCTTCACCCCCGCACCCCCCATGTGCGCACAGCAGCACATGCAGCCAGCGGCTCCACAGCGACGGGGCTCGACCGTCACTGGCACAAGCGGCGCCCTCCGATGGCGGCCGCTCCTCTGAACGCGACGACACCCCCACGCCCACCTCCCAGCATCAGCAGCGTCAGCGCGTGGCGGCGCGCAGGGTCGCGGTGGAACCTCACGCTGGTCTGGTCAGAACGGTAGGACCCGGCGAGGGCGGCGGTCTGGCGGTCCAGCAGACGCTCTCGACTGCGGTCCTCCGTGTTGTCCGCGCCTCCACCGCGATCGTGCGGGCTTCCGGCACCGCCCTGCGCGCCAGCCTCGTGGGCACCCCCACCGCACGACCAACATCAAGTGGGCGGGGCGGCATGGACGGAAAATGGCGAGGGCCAATCACATCGCCAGACGGCCGCACACCACGCATGCGCGGACGGATATTCGTTGTTGAACCTGCAATCGAGGCTAATAAGCCAACACTGAACAAGCACACACCTGCATAGAAAGCCGACGGATGGACGGAGTCGTTCAAAAAACCTGCGCTCGAAGTCTGCCCAGCTACACTTACAAAGAGCGTAAGCATGTGCAATCACAATAGTTCGACAATGCTGTGGTATGTTGCTCAGTATCGCGCAGGTATGTACGGCGCTCTTGCATGGCAGATGCTGCGGACAAGCAAGCCGGCAGAACACAGTAGAGCTATCACAAAAACACGACCCAGAAGAACACCACGAAACGTGATTTAGGAGTTCACGGCCCGTGATTTTGTGATACCGTTGGTACCATCGTGACATGCCATTGGTGATTTTTTTTTCTCACACGGATTGATGTATTGCACAATGATACAAATCACCAGTTCAGTTGGATTTGAACCAGCCCCGAGTGTAATGACTGCAACTGTGATCGACTGATGTGTATGGGAGGACAATACCAAAATACAGCACATGCCTATGTACACAGATTAGCATCGCATTTTACATCCACGAAAACACGTGTAAGGCCACAGGTTTGCGCTTCGGTGTTCAGAACGGCAGCCACACCGGTCAGAGCATGCATCACAAAATGCAGGCTTCAGCACTGCCTCAGGCATCGCCCAGCGATTACAAAGCTATTTTGGGGTGTCCGCACGACGCCAGCTACTCAACCACGCATCTGTTCCCACAGCAACAATTCCTCCGATTCTAAACAGATACCTTGCGTATGTCTTAGTTCCGATCGGCACAGCATCCCGTCTGTGTCTCTGCCGTTCCTGTCCGTGTATAATACAATACGCGTGTGTGGCAACGAGCGCAACGGGCAACGGACTCCTATCTTCCATCTTCCATCTTCCAGCCTCCGTCTTCCAACGGGCTTCTATCGTCTATCTCCCTTCTCTATTCCATCAATATCAGTGCACATTAACAGTTCGCCGGCGAAATGTGCTCGCCGCGGCGGCCCCACCACGTCAGCCCTTCTCGGAATTCTCCGCCCGTGCCAGGATATCTGCAGCGAACCTCCACAGCACCCCGCCTCCTTCGCCTGTGCCTGGTCCGACACAGCGATGTCCCCTACACGTCCGCCAGCGAACCTCCACAGCACCCCGCCTCCTTCGCCTGTGCCTGGTCCGACACAGCGATGTCCCCTACACGTCCGCTTCGTGCGGCGTGTCGCTGCGCAGCCGGTGCGTGTGTACGTCATCGTAGGCGATGGTGAAGATGCTCTTCTTCTCCAGGAACTGGTTCTTTTTGCGCCGCACGCCTGGCACGAGCGTCGACGAGAGCGTCGAGTCGTCGTCGTCGCCGGCGCCGGCGGCGCGGCCGGCGCTCAGGCGCTGCGCCACCGCCAGCTGCGTCACGTCCACCGTCGCCACGTGACGCGTGACATCGCCGATGCCGCTGTCGCCGCTGATGTCGCTGTGGCGGCCGGGGGCCTCGGGAGCCCCTCCGGGAGGTCCCGGGTCTGGCGCGGGGACCACGGCGCCGCCAGAGGAGGAGGCCGCCGGGGCGGAGTCAGACGAGCCAGTGTTTGGGTCGGAGCTGGCCGTCTCGGAAGCATGCTGCTTGGTGGTGCCTTTAGTGTCGTTGTTCTTGTCGTTCTTCGTTGACTTTGATTCGTGATTTTCCCTTGTTGTTTTGTTGGTTTTGCTCTCTTTGGTGGTCTTGCTGTCCTTGCTGGTTTTGCTCTCCTTACTGCTTCCGTCTGTAGTTTTGTTACTGCTCTTGTCGGAGCGTCGAGGTTTTTTGTCTTCCTTAGACGAGTGTGTGGTGTCTTTGGATTCTCCAGCGGTAGCATCCCCCGTTGCACGCTTTCGAGTGTCTTTCTTGTCCTTTGAACGCTCTTCAACTCTCTTGCCGTCCACCTCCAAGGACTCGCTCCTCTTTTTCAACGCCTCACCTTTCGAAGTCTTCTTTGATGTTTTGCTCTCTTTGCTTTCGCGCAATTCATCGCCAGCCGCTCGATCTCTCGACTGCTTGTCCCTACTCGACGAAGACTCGCCTGTCTCCGTCCCGTTGTTGGTGCTGTCTCGGCGGCGTTCATCCGACCCTCGGCGGTCGCGGCGGCCCTTCCCTGACGAGCTGCTCCCACCTGCCGTGATCTGAGAGGTGGTTGAGTCCTCCGTTCTGCTGTCGTGGTCCCCTGACCCCGACGCTCTGCGGCCGTCGTTATCTCGTCGCTCGCCGCTGCCCCTGCCGTCTCTGTCCTCGTCTCGGCTGTTTGTTCTCTCTTTCCGCCTCCCGGAACCCTTTTCATCCCTTCTCTCCTCCCTCCGATCGCGTTGACCATCCTCCCTCTCCTCTCTCCGATCACGTTGATCATCCTTCCTCTCCTCCCTCCGATCGCGTTTATCATTATTCCTATCCTCCCTCCGATCGCGTCTATCATCATTCCTCTCCTCCCTCCGATCGCGTTGATCTTCCTTCCTCTCATCCCTCTGATCACGTTGATCATCTCTATACCGGTCGTCTCTCGCTCTCATGCCGCTCGTGACATCTCTCCCATTCCTTTCTACTTCACCTTCCCTCCCACGGTCAGCATCTCTCCCTCTGTCATCGTGATATCGCCTTCTGTCTTCATCTATCATTCTAGGTTCATCCTTTCTTCTACTGTCAGCATCGTCCCTTCTTCTCCCTTCATCACTCCTTCTTCTGTCCCCGCCATCCCTTCTTCTACTGTCCTCGTCTCTCCGTCTGGAATCGTCGTTCCTTCTTTTGCAATCGTCGTCCCTCCTCCTGCCGTCACCCTCTCTCCTCCTCTCTTCATCCTCCCTCCTCCTCTCTTCACCATCTCTCCTCCTCTCGTCACTCTCCCTCCTCCTGTCTTCACCCTCCCTTCTCCACCCCTCGCCCTCCCTCCGCCCGACGCCGCCAGCAGCAGGCGAGCCAGCCCGCTGCTGACGCGTCTCGTTCAACATATGACTACTAAACTGCAGGCTCAGCTGGGAGCCCGGCCGCGAGTCGTCCAGCTGACGCAGGCTGGCCGTCGAGCCCAGAGCGGCGCGTCGGTGCGCAGGTGCCACCTGCCGGCCGCGGCCCTCGCCGCCCTGGCGGCTGCGCGCCGGCTCCTCCTCGTGCGAGCGGCGCCGGTCGCGCCGCTCGTCCTGGTCCCGCGAGCGGCGCCGGCCGCCCGGCTCTGCCGCTTCCTCGCTGCGGCTCCGCTGGCGCCGGTACTGGCGCGGCGCATCCAGCCGGTCCCCGGCTGCTGCGCGCCGCTCCTGGCGCGCGCGCTGGTCAATCTCCTCCTGGCGCACACGGAAATACCGGGTCAATATCCGCCTGGCGCACACGGATATACGGGGTCAATATCCGCCTGGCGCACACGGATATACGGGGTCAATCTCCTCCTGGCGCGCACGGATATATGAGGTCAATCTCCGCCTGGCACACACGGATAAATTAGGTGTGAGCAATAAGTTCTGCCATAGCTCTCATAAAAAGCCAAAAACGTGCCAACATCTAAGGGTGTATTCAACATTTGTACGGCGTTTTAAGCCGAAATAGCCGTTTTGAGGATCATTCGGTGCGGTTCACAGCTCTGTCCTTCTTCAGACCTAAACCTCTCCAGTTTCTGAGCTACGTGGTCGGGAAGATGTGCGGACTATTGCGCGGAGACTTTTTCAAGGACATCCGGGCATCTATGACGCGATAATAATGCCATGCAAATTCTGCCATTCCTGACATTCCAAGCACGCGGCGATCAAGGTCAAGAAAAAAATTGTCGAATCGTTCATATCTGGTGTTCGTGGGCACGATTTCCAGATAAAATGTTCTTGAACTAGTCCTCAATCAATGTTGTGCGAGATGCGGTGACGTTATGAAACAATGACGCAATGGGGAGCATATTATCTAAACAGAGAAATGATGCTGTCTAACGCACTCATTGCCACTAATGAGCGTGTCAATAGTTATCAGTGAGCTGATACCATCATATTGCATGCTTGCTCCACTATCTTTAAATGTGGAACATTCCTCATTTTCTGGAACATCCATCAGCCTTTAAAACGAAGACGTCGCTCAAGCAGTCAGGTCTGGACCCTCACATAGTCATGACGCTCCAGTACAGCGCTTCCCTCCCAGTGATAGCCTCTGGAGCGCCCTCACACCCAGCGACCGCTCACTCCTCCCACTCCCATCTGACACCCACCTGCACATGTTCGGCATAATGCAGCTTCGACTCGTACATCTCGCCGGCGGCCTCATCACGCGTGAACCGCCGGCGCCCCCCGTTTTTTGCACCGGTCGAGTCATCGGAGGCACGGCGCGGCTCGCCGCCGTCCGACTGGCGGTGCGCGTGCAGCAGACCGGCCTGCTGCAGCTCCTCCTGCAGTACCGCCTTGCTGTTGCGCCGGCGCAGGATGGACGCCTTGGTCTGCGCGTACAGCGGCTCTGGTGAGCCCGGCAGCGGCGCGTGGATCTGTAGTGGGGGGCGGGAGTGCCCAGGGTCAGGGTCAGGGTCAGGGAGTGCCCAGGGTCAGGGTCAGGGTCAGGGAATGCCGAGGGTCAGGGCTGGAGACGTCACGATGCTCAGTTTCCGCCACTCTCCGTGATTTTTCGTGCTACTTGCCTTGAGTTTACTGACTTATCTCCTCTACCTCAAATCAGCTTTTTACATCTTGTGCAGGTGACACTTAATCATGCAAACAAAATTACATTACAAGATATATGCATATTGTACTGCATATCATGTTTTTTATCATGCTCTCACACTGGGTTACATACTATACACGCCACCTCCGATTTCGGCGATTTCTCATGTCCACCTCTCTGCTGGCTTCTGATCTCACATCCCCGACTCTTGGCCACAGCCCCCCTACCGCTACGTACTGATGACCGCTCACCCCTGTCCCTGACGCCTATCCTCGTGACCCCTGACTTCGGACCCCTGCCCTCGACGCCTCACCTCCCACTCCACCCTCTGCTGATGACCGCTCATCCCTGTCTCTGACCCCTGACCTCGGGCCCCTGCCCTCGACCCCTCACTCTTCCCTCTTCTGATGACCTCTCACCCCTGTCTTTGATCCCTGACCTCCTGATCCCTGACCTCGGACCTCTGCCGTGACCCCTCACCTCCCGCTCCTCCCTCTCCAGCACGCTCTGCGTCTCCTCCTGGATCGGCGTCTTGATGGCCCGCGCCGACACACGCGCCTCGCCCTGGATGACGTCACCACGCCGCGTCAGTGACGTCACTGTGACGCCGTGCTGGCCCGACTGTTGCACGTCTAGCTGTTCCTCCTCCTCCTCCCTGCGCAGCTGGTCCGACTCGTACCTGTTCAGAAGGCGGGCGTGCGTGGTCAAAACTTAAATGTGCTCATCTCGCCCCCCCCCCCCCCTGTTTATGTGCCCCTCTGGTCACCCCTGACGCTTCTGGTCACCTAGTGGGGTTCTCCTTGCTGTTCATGCTCTTCTCTGAGGCACCCTTGTGACTGATGCACCCGCCAGGCCCCCTTCTCCCGATGGTTCATGTATCACTGCCTTCCTCCCGGCTCCCCATGTGCTCTTCTGGTCACCCCTGACGGTTCATGCACTCACCGGGCGCCCTCCTGACTGTTCATGAAGCGCGTCATGATCATAGCCTTGCCGCCCCCACCATCGTCCTCCAACCGGCCGTCCTCATCCTCCAGCCTGTCCTCCTCGAGCTCGTCGTCCTCGTGCACCACCATGACCTCGCTGCGCGTGCGCCGGCGCGGCCCGGCGCGATGCGGCCCCACCGGCTGGCCGTACCGCACGTCCTGGTCGTCCCGCGGTCGGCCACGGAACACCGGACGCTCTGCCGGGGGGAGCACGTCACGTGACGTCACATGACTCTCGATCGCGAGGGGCTTCGCGGAGTGACTCCCTGAGGGGGCAAGGTGAGGGACATGCACTCACTACGCGTACTTGGGACGTTTGCTCGAGACTATACACAGGATAGTCACTGATCTGGTGTACTGTGAGGACAGCAGTCTCCATCCTCCGCGCATCCGCAATTTACCGCTCTCTCCGCCATTCCCATCCCTCTCTCCTCTGCGCTCGCCACTCTCTCGGCTGCACTCGCCACTCCCTCTCCCGCGCTCTTTCCGCCACTCTCACCGCTCTCACCCCCACGCTCGCCATTCTTTCGACCGCACTCGTCCCTCCTTCCTCCACGCTAGCCAGTCTCTCGGCCGCACTCACTACTCTCTCTCTCCCACGCTGGCCACTCTCTCCGCCGCACCTCCACTCTCTTTCCCACGCTCGCCCGCGCTCTCCGGCACCCTCGCCGCTCCCACCTCCACGCTCGCCACTCTCTCCGCCGCACTTACCGATCGGGTTTCCGTCCCTGTCGAGGGAGAAATCCCTCTGGCGTCGTTTGGCAGACGTGTACAGACGCAGCGAGTCGCTGCGGCCCTTGCGGTGGTACTCGGCGTCCCTGCCCCCGTTTTGGTCATCAAGAGTCAGCACCTGGGGACGAGAAGCGCGGGTGTGACGGGCGTGTTGTGGCCATCAAGAGTCAGCACCTGGGGACGAGAAGCGCGGGTGTGACGGGCGTGTTGTGGCCATCGAGAGTCAGCACCTGGGGACGGAAAGCACGGGTGTGACGGGTGTGTTGTGGCTATCGAGAGTCAGCACCTTGGCCAGAGTACATGGACACATGGAGTGTTCTGCTCATCCTTTGCCAACACCTGGACTGGTAGTGATACTCATGCCACCCATGCTTTTGCAGCACCCCTGAGTGGGGCACGAAGGTATGAAGAAACTGTTGTGGTCCGGTCACCTACGATTGGGCATCGTCCACAGCTCATGCCACCGGGCATACAGCGGCTTTGCTATGAGATTGCTATGGTATATGCCATTGCCATCAGCACGATAGAAGGGGGGGGGCATGACACTGATATTTGCTTCTTGTCATGCACAGCTATAAGCCTACAGTCCAAACCTCCCACTTATCGGGGCAGACTCCCTGAACCGCCGAAGACCGCTGCATGCTCCACGTCCACGTCACGGCCGGCCGTGACGTGGACGCGACGTCACTTATCGAGAAGGCGGGGTCGATGGTCGGCCGTGACGTGGACGCTGACGCTCCTCAGCCGAGGCGGTGGCTCACCTCGACGGAGGGCGTGCGGCGGGAGGCGGTGCGCGCCCCGTCCAGGACGACGGACCTCCGCTCCTGCTCCAGCCGGTCCAGGCTGGCGTCGTCCAGCTCCAGGTCCTCCACGCGGTAGCCGTCCTCGTCCACCAGCTGGAGCTGGCGCCGACCGTCGCGCATTACCCGGTACATTTTGGGGCCGCCCTGCGCGGTCAGGGGTCGTGGTCAGAGGTCATGGGCGAAAGTTCACGTGCCAGAGGTCATCGAGCTCGGCTCGGCGGTCATGGAGCGCGGCTCACAGGTCAGTGGTCAAGGCCGTAGTAAACGAAAAGGAGAAGGCGGGGTCGATGATCGCTGATAGCGACACGTCTACGATACCCTTGAAGACTCGAGAGCGGACCCCAGATTCTGACACTGGATGGAGCTTAAAAGCCAGTCCTACACAACATTCGTAAAGCCCGGGAGGACTCGAGAGCGAACCCCAGATTCTGACACTGGAGGGAGCTTAAAAGCCAGTCCTACACAACATTCGTAAAGCACGGGAAGACTCGAGAGCGGACCCCTGATTCTGACACTGGATGGAGCTTAAAAGCCAGTCCTACACAACATTCGTAAAGCGCAGGAAGGCGTCGCTCCACCCTGACCTCAGCAGGTCACCAGCACTGACCCGAGACGCCCTGGAGCTAGACCTGTGCAGGCTGCCGATCTCGTTGGGCACGAGCACGATCTGGTTGTCGCGGCCGCCTCGCACCACGCGTGAGATCTCGTCCTCCATTCCCTGGCGCAGCATCACCACGTTCTCCCGGCCCGGCTCGGTCTCAGCCGCGTCCACCAAGCGGAGCGTCGACGAGTGAGAGTTTCTCCCTCCGGCCGGTAGCTGGCGGTAGCGACCGTTGCCGGACCACGCCTGGCGACTGGCCGCTGAAAAAGGGGATTGGTGACGCTCTGAGTTCAGAGGTCGGTGACACTCTGAGTTCAGAGATCGCTGACACTCGGAGTTCAGAGATCGTGAGTTTAGAGATTGGTGACACTCTAACCTCAGGGATCGGTGACACTGACTTCAGAGATCGGTGACACTCTGAGTTCAGAGATCGGTGACACTCGGAGTTCAGAGACCGTGAGGTTAGAGATCGGTGATACTCTAACCTCAGGGATCGGTGACACTGACTTCAGAGATCGGTGACACTCTGAGTTCAGAGATAGGCGACACCCGGATTTCAGAGATCGGTGACACTCGGAGTTCAGAGATCGTGAGTTTAGAGATCGGTGACACTCTAGCCTCAGGGATCGGTGACACTGACTTCAGAGATCGGTGACACTCTGGATTCAGAGATCGGTGACACCCTGACCTCAGGAATCGGTGACACTTTGAGTTCAGAGGCTGGTGACACTCTGACTTCAGAGGTTGGTGACACTCTGCTTTGAAGATGACTTGCGAAAATGGGAATATTGATCAACGGGCAACCAGCTGATATAATTGCTCATTCAGTCACGCAATCTTTAATTTAATATAAAGGCAACCACATGTAAGGGCCACGGACGTCACTCACCATCCCTCACGCTATGGAACAACGCGAGAGAGGCAAGGTGTAACTAAGGACGAAGACTCGCGCCCCGTTTGCTGCTGTCCATCTGATAGTGATCAGAGCTTCTGATCGGCCGTACCAGATCTGACTCTCCGATGAATTTCCTGATCCTGGTCTGACCCCTTCATGGCTCTCCTGATCCTGATCAGACCATCTAATGACTCTACTGTTCCTGAACTGACTCCCTTGATGACTCTTCTGATCGTTATATGACTCTCCGATGACTCTCCTGATTCTAGTCGGACCCTGAGAACTCTTCTGATCCTGATCTGGCTCTGTAATGACTTTTCTGATCCCGAGCTGATCCCCTTATGATCTGCCTGACCCTGATCGAACTAAAATGACGCCCCTGAGCCTAATCGGACTATGCTGACTCCCCTGATCCTGATTGGAGTCCCTGCCTCACCTGACCGCACCCTCTCCGCCGGACCGGCCACGGCAGAACGCATCCTCTGCAGGACATTGCCACCGCGCCCGTGACTGCGGTTCAGCTGCTGTGCATCGCCGCCGTTCACGTTGACGTACGCCACCGCCTCCTCGTCGTACTCCTTCACCATCTTTCGCCTGAGCACGAACAGGGGTTTCAGAGGCAGCATTGGGACGGTGGGGGGGGGGGGGGGGGGTCAGCAACAGCCTGGGCACAGGAGGGGTTCAGGGCAGCCTAGGGAGTGGGAGGGGCTCAGGGGCACCCTTGGGACCGGAAGGGATTCAGGGGCAGCCTGGGTGCGGGGAGGGGTAGGCAGCAACCTGGGAAGGGAGGGTGTTCAGGGACAGTCTGGGCACGGGAGGGGGTTCATGGGCAGGTGTGGTGCGTGGACCACATCAGTTGTTGTGTCGCGTGGACCACATTAGTTGTTGCGTCGCGTGGACCACATCAGTTGTACGTCACATTCACACAACGCAAATAACAACCACCAAAGTCCACATATACCATGGCGCGGTATGCTCTCGTCTACCTGTGAATGCCGCTGGTGAGGCTGCGCACTGATGAGCGATATATCACGCATAGCTAGTTCCATTGCTCCAAACGTTAGAGCCGTTGTGAGACCTTTCTTATGCAGCAGCATACGTGTTTTAGATTATGATGCTTTTGTGACGATTACGGCAAAGTTATTGAGTATCGCAATCACTTCCAGCATCGAGGATAGCTGCACTAGTGGCACCCAGCAACTATGTTCTCACTCTGGACTACGTTTTCACTTTGGACTATGTTCTCACTCTGGACTATGTTCTTACTCTGGACTACGTTCTCACTTGTGGCAGCTGCAGAGAGGACAGCAGGCATAGCAGCAGGAGCAGTAGCAGCAGCAGCAGACGATGATAAGAATGATGATGATAATGAGGGCCAGAGCTATCAGGAGCCAGAACCAGACGCTGTTCACTGCTGCCTGATCAATAGCCTCTCCCCCCTGTTGGCAACGACAGCGATGACTTTGGCGGCTAGCTGGTGTCCAGGGAGCATACCGTGGGGAGGCGTCGGTCGCAGCCCGTCCATGACACTTCACTATCCATAACACTTCATTATCTTTTAAATGGCGCTATTCTGCACTTACGCAGATAAAGTGCCGCCTCAAGACACATACACGGCACGCGCACGCCAAACGTCTGGGAGCGGGTTAAGGACGCCAACAGGTCCGGAAGGGATGTCGGTTTCTCACACGGACTTACATCAGTGCCACCGTCTTCATTTTTGGAACCTGCTCCTCCTCCCAGACTGGTGGTGTCGAAGATGGCGTCATACGGCCGATGCACCCTGGCTGTAATGGCCGTCTTTCCTTCTCTGCGGTCAGAGGTGGTGTCGTCAGCGGCAGCCAGGGGCTCCCAAATCCAAGCCCTCGAACCACTCCCAAGCTATCAAAGGCGCCCCGTGGTGATGTTAGCCCGCATGCGTCATCTGAGTGAGAAGGCAAGAGGCCCAAACACTCTGACCAACATGACTGAGATGCGGGTGAGCTGACACAACAGCGACCCAGCCAATTTTGCTGGCATTATATGACAAAGACCAGTGGATTGTCCAGCACCAGCATCGTAAGACGGCGAACCGGAGTGCGACTACTGCGATGGCGAATATCACATCGCCGCCGTCAAGGTCACCACAAGGTCACCACAAGGTCACTACAAGGTCATCACAAGGTCATCACAAGGTCCGCCGAATGCCGCCGTCTAATGGCGAACGCTCACAGCTGCTGGCCGTTCCTGCCCGTCAGTTCGTCGTCGCCCTCGTATCGCTTGACGTTGGTGATGGTGGCCGTGCCGCCCGTGAACACCGACAGCTGGCGCTCCACATCATCCTGCAGCAGACGTCACACCACAACCGTGAACACCGACAGCTGACGCTCCACATCATCCTGGGGCAGACGTCACACCACAACCGTGAACACCGACAACTGACGCTCCACATCATCCTGCGGCAGACGTCACACCACAACCGTAAACACCGACAGCTGACGCTCCACTTCGTGTTTTAGAAAGCTGTAGGTGATTAAATAGCAGATCGTTTGGTATTGAAGATTTCGATTCCCCTATAAGGTCGTTGACCTACGGCAGGTCAAAGTCAGGCCATGGATTCGGCGAAGACAGTTTCTAGGGAATCGTTTAATCTGATGCAACAGCGGAGTGCTAGACAAAGCCGTACATCTCTGGGAGGTTTCTTGGGCAACACAGCAATTCACTTAACAAATTTCATTCACCTAAGGTCAGGTATGATGAGGTCAAAACCGACCTGTTTTTTTCTATAACGTTTGCTGTATGGGGCAGTTTCTGGTGCTCAGTTTGAGTTTACTGATTACAGCGAGTGCATCATGAAACTTCCATAGACTTCTTAAAGGTCAGAATATGTCATTGACCTAAAACGACCCAGGTCACCATTTTGTTTTTACGAACATACTGTGTAACGCAATTCTTCACACTTATTCAGACACAAAAATTAAGCAGTCTTTTGTAATTTTGGCTAACATGACCTTCGAAAGATCAAACAAGGTCACTAACCCCACTTTGGCACAAGTGACCTTTTGCTTAGAACAGGCATCTAGGTTCACAATGGTTGCATGCGAGTGTGCGGAGACGCTTTGGACACCAAATCTAAAATATTGCCTTATTTGGCGTGAAGGCAATAATCTAGGAATCTCAAATTTTCCCCAAGTGATTTCATGTACAGCCCGATACACTGTGAATTTTGTGTATCTAGCTCTCCTGGTTTCTGAGATCTCGGGGGGGGGGCAAACTGACCCCCACCCGAGCGGATGATATTCAACCAACCAACCGGGCGCGTGTTAACAGCCTGCGGCCGGTTGAGCATCTCCCTCGCTTTGAGAACCCCGCTGGTCGAGCCTACGCAAGGCCTAGCCAAGGAGCGCGCTTTACTCGCTCCAGGGTGCATGTAGCGCATTTCTTCCGCCGTCAGACGACGTCCGCCGTCCTGAGCAGCTGCACCCATGGCGCACCTGGTTCTGCAGGACGGTGTCCACGTCTTCGTTTACCAGGAATGTCATGGTCTGCACGTTCTCCTTCTTGTATATGTAGACGGGCACCTTGCTGAACAGCTGGGGGCTACCTGCACGAAGCCAGGCGAGACTGGTGACGAGCTGGGAGTGGGGTATGGGAGAGGTGCGGTACATACCTCAAGCCATATGTGTGCACGCTCAGTCAAGCTTGGCTCGCTAGCCTTTATGGTTCTTTTTCCACACCCGCCATCAACCTCTGGTCAAAGTCGCCCACGGTTATCAAAAGCTACGGACCTGAAAAGACCGCCCTCGCCCAAGAATGCAAAAACATCCAGTGATCCCAGTTTCATTCTGGGCAATCCCAACGCACCGCATTGCTGATACTGAGGACACGGAGCCGCGTTCTCCAGCTCACCCTCGTCGTGCTAATGCTCAGGACACGGAGCCACGTTCTCAAGCTCACCCTCGTGCTGATACTCAGGACACGGAACCGCGTTCTCTAGCTCACCCTCGTCGTGCTGATACTCAGGACACGGAGCCGCATTCTCCAGCTCACCCTCGTCGTGCTGATACTCAGGACACGGAGCCACGTTCTCAAGCTCACCCTCGTGCTGATACACAGGACACGGAACCGCGTTCTCTAGCTCACCCTCGTCGTGCTGATACTCAGGACACGGAGCCGCATTCTCCAGCTCACCCTCGTCGTGCTGATACTCAGGAAACGGAGCCACGTTCTCCAGCTCACCCTCGTCGTGCTGATACTCAGGACACGGAGCCGCATTCTCCAGCTCACCCTCGTCGTGCTGATACTCAGGAAACGGAGCCGCGTTCTCCAGCTTCACCCTCGTCGTGCTGATACTCAGGACACGGGGCCGCGTTCTCCAGCTCACCCTCGTCGTGTGCCTCGACCTGCAGCTCGATCCTGTCGTTAACCGCCTCGGACCCCGCTTCCTGGAATGTCAGCGGCTGGTTCTCCGGCAGCCGGCGCGGGTCCCTGCTGTCAGTCAGCTCCATCGGCACCGGCTTCCGCACGCTCAGCTCGCCTGCCGGTCAAGGCTGCGGTCATCGCAGGAGCGGTGCCAGGGCTCGGGAAGGGCGATGCGCGTCCATGTGAAAAGCGGCTGGGGAAAGGTACAGGTCAGAGGTCAGGGACACGGGACGGAGCGGACATAAGTGGAGGGGAAGCATCGTTTCAGGTGAGTTAATAACTGCATGTGGGTGTCCTTGGGGCTTTACGACGCTCTCAGCTGCTGAGGCCCTATGGCGCTGCTTGTCTCTCACCCAGGCAGGAACGACGGACATTGCGGGGAGTGGAGCCCGTGTCTCCGACTTCCCAGACGCGCAGCTTTACCACGGCACTTTCGGTGCACAGAGTGCATGAAAGTAAGAAATATCAAAGTTTGCAGTTACATGAGCTCTTTTTCTCGGGAAATCGCCGTGCCAGGCGACCACCAGCTAGGCGAATATGCGAGCGATGGACATGGAATGACGTCATCACACCTGTGATGGACATGGAATGGCGTCATCACACCTGTGTTGCGATCGATTGCGAAGTTGTCGCGGTACTTGCTGCTGCCGCGGAGCCGGTAGGCGACCTTGCTGTTGGCCCCCGAGTCGCGATCCACGGCCTGAGGGTCGAGAGGTCATCACGTCAGGTCAGGTCAGGTCAAGACAAGGTTATGTCGCCTCAGGTACGCGGTTCTGGAAGGTGCTGATGTTACCTTTTGCAATGTTTTGCAAGTCCTTTAACTGATAGATGGATTAACAACTGCTGGATTACTAAGCATGTTGATAAGCGAATGATCCCCAGGCACAGATCTATCAAGACGTTCCATACATAACAATTGCTGATGATGTTAAAGGCTTAGCAATATTGATGCTTATGTTTTTAAGCGATCAAATTTCCAAACGTTTAGGAAAAACGACGCTCTCTTCCTTTGGCCTGACGTTGGTCCGTACACGCATGGTATGCTTCACCAGTAACAGTCCCTCGGGAGCGCCTTTCTCAGTCCTCAGTCCTCAGTCCTCAGTCCTCTAACGAACCTACATCACTCAACCAGGCCGCGATCGACCCATCATGGAGACGTCCTCTTGCCTCCACTCAGCCTCCCACTGCATCGCCCTCCTCGCGAGCCGCGGCGGGCCCCCACTCTTCGGGCAACACTCACGAGAACTTGGACGGCCTCCTCCAGTTTGTCGCCCTTCGGACTCAGCTTGCCGCTATACATCGGGCTTGTGAACACGGGCGGGTTGTCGTTCACGTCCCGCACGGTGAGCACGATCGAGGCCGTCCCCGTCCGCTGCGGCACCCCGCTGTCGGTGGCGAACACCTGCAGCCGGTACTCTGTGACGACAGCGTGACGTCAGCGGAGGCTCGTTGGGGTTAACGAACACACGAAGCCGGTACTCTGTGACGACAGCGTGACGTCAGCGGAGGCTCGTTGGGGTTAACGAACACATGAAGCCGGTACTCTGTGACGACAGCGTGATGTCATCAGAGGCCCGTTGAGGTTAACGCGCTTTCCGTGTTAGTGACCGGCGACGGGTACTCTACAGATGAAATGCCAAAAATAATAATTTCAATAGGTTGCCATGGCAACCCCTTGTACGCGAAATACATGCTGCGTCAACCCGCTGTGTGTGGATTCCGAGGATACGATGACGTCATCAGATGACAGCCACCACTACCATGAATGGAAATAGTTTTCTAACAACAGCCGACAAGTCCGGCGGCTGTTCTCGGCTAATGTGGCTACAAAAACATTTCGTAAGTCAGAAATTGTAAACACATGGTTTCTTTACGTAAAACCTGCCCATCAGCCATGTCTGTTATGGTGCTCGCCTCTGATGACTCACCCTCCTGAGTCTCGAAGTCAAAGCGATGGTTGGTGACCTTGACCGAGATCTGACCGGAGGTCGGGTCCAGGGTCAGGTCATCGGCGTTGTCGCCGGTCAGTCCCGAGTACACCACCCGGCCGCCGTCCGCCTGGTCGGCGTCAATAGCTGCCACCTGGCGGGGGGCAGGGCGCAAATGACGTCACGATATTGATTGTCAGACGGCGACAACGACACTGATGACACAGTGATGACACTGGTATCGTGACACCGGTTATGACACCAGGCGTACGACACGCAGTGATGTTACACTGTTAAAGTTAAACGCCATCAGGAAAAGGACACACCGATGACGAAAGACATCGACGTCATACCAGCGTCATACCGACGTCGCATAAATAATAACGAAGATCTGCTCTCCTTTGTGTGCGTGCGGTTTGTGTTGTAGTAGAATGAATAGTATTCTAGTAGAGGGGCTACATGTCAACAATGTGCCATTCTGCAAGCCGTGTGAGTTAAAACGGTCCTTTCGTGTTTCAGATACATACTTCATGCGTTGCATGCCAGTCAGTCCTCTCGTCTCTGCATCAGTGCCGCGGTGTTTGTTCCGATCGGTATTCGTTAACGAAGGTAGCCACAAAAAAACAAGGTCATCGGCCTTCTCTGAGCAACAAAAACGATGGTCTGTCGCTCCAGAATATCTGATGAGGTACGGAAGACGGCCCACGTGTTTACCAGGCGCTCGGCTTCTCGAATTCGTGTTGCGTGATTTTATTGTCAGCGTTTTTGTCCGACAGGCGAGCCGTCCTACCGCTCAGCTGGTCCCTCAGGCCTCTTCCGATCCGAGGACCCCGCACTCAGCCGACCGGTGACGTCACCTAACAGCCGGATCACGTGACCAGGCCTCATTAGGGCGGGGTTTGCGGCGCAGATCCGCCAATGGCGCGGATTCCCGCCAGATCAGCGGTTCTCTTTGTTTGCGGTGACGTCACTGGACGCCGATTGCCGCCGGCGCGCCGCGTTCGGCGTCAATGCGCGCACGGCAGGACAAACTCGCCCGTTTGTCGCATTTGGCGGCCAGGTGCAGGCTGATCATGGTGTGGACGAGGCGTTCACCTTGAGGCAGTGGTGTCTCCCGCACAAAGACTCTGTCTACAAGCCGGCAGCGAAAGCCAAACACGGCCTTGGTGATGATGGTGCCAGGGCCGTAAGAACAGGTGGGCCATTGGCAGCGAACTGTCCATATTAATTAAGCTCTAATTTCATGGTATCGCAATGGAAAAAGCGCAATAAAGTGCGTTTAGTCATTCGATTTTGGGGTTGCGCACAAGTGGCGTCGTGCCCTCAATCTCCCACCTTGAGAATGGGGGTCCCCCGCTCGATGTTCTCGTCGAAGAACGCCTCGTAGAGATCCTTCTCGAAGGTGGGCGCGTTGTCGTTCTGGTCGATGACGGTGACGGTAACGTTGGTGTAGCTGATGAGAGTTGGCCGGGTCCTGCCGGCCAGCTCCACCTCCTGAGCCTTGATCTGATCGGTGGAGAACGGGTCAGGGTCAGAGACGGGGTCACGACACGTGCAGAATCACGATCAGAGTCGGGACAAAAAATCGGAACAAGATTGAGGACTGCGAAGGTAGGATGCGGCCCGGATAGGGTCGTAATCAATATACGGCGGTGCTCGTCGACGAAGGGCAGTTTCGATATCCCCGCTGGAGGGCTACTGGAGGGCTACTAAGTTTCTTACTTCTATTGTGATGGTGAAATTTGCTTGGAATCAGCACCCGAGTGGAGTCATACCTCTGAAACCTTCATCTTGCAAGTAAAGTCAAAAGTGACAGCGAAATTTGAATGTCATGGCGGTCTAAGGCAGCAGACTCCTAGTGTCGCTAGTAAACACCGATCACTCAGACTACACGCACCCTGTCATCTCCAGCGCTTGTCACCTCATTTCTTCTCCCCGACCTACGTCACTTCGAGAGCGTCATAGCCGAACGGTTAGCACACACACTTCGGACTTCCACGTGGGACCCGGGTTCGAATCTCGGCTGCGCCATGGCCCCTGCACGCTAATATGGCCAATACATTCGCTGGTGCTCAATGCAAGCGGCGCAGCAAACTGTGCGTGGTGCTCCGGTTTCTTAATAAAAAATAATGAAATAGCCTGAATATGCTACACAGTTGCCCCTACCCTGCGCCCATGCTAACTCCATCGTCAGATCCGTCGTCAGATCCGCGCCAGATCCGCGTCAGATCCGTCTTCAGACCCGCGCCAGATCCGCCGTCAGATTCGCGTCAGGTCCATCGTTAGGTCCGACGTCAGATCCGCGTCATACCCGCGCCAGATCCGTCGTCAGATCCGCGTCACGTGGCACTCACCCTGAACCGGATCTCCGGCCGCACGAGCTTCTCGAAGTCGAGCAGCTGGTTGTTCTTGACTCGGATGTCGAACTGGACATCACCGCTGAGAACGGTGGGCTCCACCTCGAAACACTTGGAGGCGAGGTCACCGATGATGCTGAGCGCGAACGTGCCCCGCTGACCCTGCATGCCAGGGCTAAGGTCAGAGGTCAGGGGTCAGAACATGGGATTGGGTCAGGACTGGGGCAGGGGGGCGAGGACAGGCAAAGGCCTGGTGCATGGTCGTTATCGACGAGGTAGGGTTGAAAAGCAGAGTCGAGAAAACTACGTGGTGACGTTCATCGGTGGTCGGGGGCGGAGACGGTGCTCTGCTGTTTCAGATGGGGAGGAGACGGTGCTCTGCTGTTTCAGATGGGGAGGAGACGGTGCCCTGCTGTTTCAGATGGGGAGGAGACGGTGCTCTGCTGTTTCAGATGGGGAGGAGACGGTGCTCTGCTGTTTCAGATGGGGAGGAGACGGGAGCTTATGCAGTATATGAGCTGCTGAAGTGGATGAGCAGAATCGGCGCCATGGCAAGATAGGGAGGGTTGAATGGTTTTCAAAGGCGAAAAGAGGGAAATATTCGAAAGGAAGAGCTCTCGGCGACGCCGATCGCGAGCAAGCATGACGAAGGCACGAGTACAGACACATGCGAGCATATGCGACAGACGTCAAACGTAGCGAAGAACAGACGAAGACAAAAAAGAACAAATGAACTGGACGGCGAAGGGCAAACATTCACATTGGACGACAACAGGGAATTAACAGTGGGCCCATTCAGGCCCAAAAGAGCAAGCTGACGCAGAGCGACAGCAAACAATTAGCGGAGAAACAGACATGGCTTAGACACATGACAAAAGAAAACGACAGACGGATAGACACTGACGCAGACTCAGTAAGTGGGCAGCCAAAGCTCTCCACAAAGCTAAACAACGACACCGGCATCACCGTAAACGAAGTCCAGTAATTTTCGCAATTTCACCACGGCCAGTGCGGTGATGCATTCGTGATGAGACCGCGCCGTGTTTTTCCAATAGCGGATCGCAGACGTGAGTGGCATTGCCCCTGCCCGCCGACTGAAGGTCGCGTCGGGGTCGGGTCGATGGGCCAGTGTCGGTGCCGGCAACACGGGGCGAAGCTGGCGATACCTCCGAGCCGGGCCGTTCCAGGAATGCGATTAATGCCGCTGACATCCGGCACGACAATCTGGGAGCGCTTTGTCTTTAAACCGTTGGCAAAGTCGTGTGCACAGCTCGTTCGTTGTGTCACGTGGTTCTTGCCATTAAAATCGCAGACTGGCACCCTAAGAGAGCTGGCGTAGGCACGCACTGGCCTTGAAATCTGAGACTGAGACTGACTGAGACCGACTGAGACTGACTGAGACCGACTGAGACTGACTGAGACCGACTGAGACTGACTCTGAGACACTGCTGGTAGGATCAAACCAAAAAGGCCGGCGGAATGTTCATAAGGTGTGCGAGTGTTGATTTCTGAAATTCGTTTTCGTAAGCGGAGCGATCCCCCAAATGCTAAACGCAAAGCTCTGAACTGGGCTTTTCAGTTTGTTTTGCTCCGCGTATGCTTGGGAAAAGCTTGTGATGGCATCTCGCCTCAAGCTAGGAGGCACAATGCGCTTAACGTTTAACAGAAAGCCAAGTGTCCTACTGGTACTCGACATGTGACATAAGGCTGCTAGCTTTCTGTACGTCATTTTGGGAGATTCTCAACTTTGTATCGTTCTTTAGACCAGTGCACACCAGAGGCACGTGGGGCGGCACGGAGATGGGAGACAGAGGTGAACAGCGTAGCAGGCGGACTTGCGCAAGCCAATCTGGATTAAACGGATTGACAGGGCATGCTCCACAGGGGCTTTGCACGCATTCAGATACAAAGTAAGAGCGCTTTAAGCATTTCGTCCCGCAAGTGTACTGCTAAGTGTAAAATAAACACACATTGACGAACACCGACAGAAAAACAGCCTGACTGAAAATGTTCAGCATAGCGAGCTTGATGGCACATTCATATGCATAACGATGTGTTCTGATGGCGTTGGAAGGGTTTCTTTACGCGCACATGTAGGTACAACACAAAGTTTGTCATCGTCTGCAGCGCATGGATGTTGGCCACACTGGCATGTGATGTGCGGTGTTGTTTCGGGGGCATGCCATTGAAACAAGTGCACCCGGTTAAAATACGGAGGTATGAGACAGGCAGCGTGCTTCTCGGCATGGACTCCCCTACTGGGTAAAGCAAACCCAGCCGTATTCATATTGAAGTAACGTAAAATGCCGCATGCGCATCACCAAAACACCACCGAGCGATACAAACAAGACATGCGCAGCATAACTGGATGGCCAGATGGCACTGAAGTTGATTCAACACAAAGAGCACGCTGGAATGGCGTGTGGACAGCCAAACGTCCGTCGCCGGCAGCCCTTCAACAACACGGTCCGAACTGCCAATCAACTGTTCTGTTCTGTTCTGAACTGTTCTGTCCCATCAAAAGATCGCTTGAGACAGCTTGCAGCCTCGAGACCTTATTTGTGCAGACGTCTAGACCGCACCCGGGATTCCATTGAAGCCTTCCATAGAAGCGCCACTGCCAAAACGTCTCCAGCCTCATCGGCCGATGGGCGGCGCGTCCCCGGGCGGGGGGGGAGGGGGGGAGGGGGGGGGAGGGGGGGAGGGGGGAGAGGCCTGCCCGTGCCGGCCGGGCTGACCGTTATGATTGTCGTCGCTCCTCCCATCGATCCCGGAGGCGCGGCCACACAGTGGGCGGACGTGAGAGAGAGGGCGAATGGCCACCGCAGCGGCGGCGGCGGCAAACTGCGCCCCGTCACGCACGGCTGCGCCTCACGCCAGCCTCACGCCAGCCTCACGCCGGCCTCACGCACGGCCGCCAGCCTCACGCCAGCCTCACGCCGTGGCGGAAGTGGCGGGCCTTCTCCACCGGCAGTGTGTTGTCGCAAACACGGACGCCTGATTCACCTTTACTGTGCCTTTCGGGAATGCCACGTGTTCTTTTGTGCTTATTCGGTGCGTAAAAGGGATGTCGGCAGACTCTTTTCACTGTGTAGCTTTATCGATCCTGCGTCGCCGTCAGTACTTGCCAAATTCGTTCTTCAATTTCGTACATTGCGAGCCATTCGTTTCGAAAATTTCGGCGTGATCACATTAAGAGAAAGCCACAATTTATGAGCAGTCAGTGCAGGTCAAGTTTGTCATGCATAACGTCAGAATGCGGTTATGAACTTGGTACAAGATACATGTCATACATAAGATACGTTACATTAGATATAACAAGGTACAACTTTGGTCGCTGTGGGTCAAATCTGGAACGTACAGCTTGGCAGGATCAAAATACCCCAAACATCATTGTAAAATTGTCTGTGTAACATTTTCACAGCAAGCCATGTCAAACATGGATTAGTTCCACCGAGGAGCGCATTAATCAAGTTGACTCAACTTACACCCCGTATGCATTCCGCACCAAAATAACGGAGCGTGCCTCACATGTTTGTAAAGTCGTCACGGACAATACTGACAAAGGTATCATGGGCGGCTTGCTTCTTGCAACAATTAATCATGTAACACCCCGTACGTCGATCTCAGCGCGAATGACCGTTCTTCGAACGGCCTACGTCGTCGACGGTTGACGACTTCACCATAACCTGTCAAGCAGCCGCAGCCTTTCTGTCCCAAGTCCAAACGCCGGCATGCAACGGCGGCATGCAAAGCACCACGCTAGGGCATGCGGGCAAGCGTTCTAGGGTCACATCGCGGACACGGACTCGTTTCCGTTGGACCTTACGCGTGTGCCGTGGGAGTGCTGACCTGCCCTGACCTTTGGAAAACTTACAGTGGTCTCCAGCGGCGGGGCAAAGTTCAGGATGGTGCCCAGCGGCGGGCTTTCGAACAGCTGGGTCACGTACCTGCCGACAGCGGTCAGGGCCTGGGGTCAGAGGTCGTGGAGAGGGCGCTCCGCGGGCGGCGAGCCCACCTTTCGGTACCTCAGGCGTCACGTCATCGCCAGACATACGGAGTGGAAACGTAGCTCTTTGATCCGCCGGAACCGACAACGTGGTTGGTGCTGGATCAATACCGGCGGTACCGGAGCGATGCGAAGGCGGATTCATGTCGATGTTCTTCCGCTGTCGGGAGATGCCCGACCGCGATGAACTCACAGGTCAGGTCACCGTCAGGTCAGGTCAGGTCAACTCTAGCAGCGGCACCAGGCTGTTTTAAAAATCAAAAATTCTCCTCTAACCCAGACACAACACAGCCACATCTGTCGAGGCTCGATTTGACCCATCCTTCGGGCACCGACACTCAACAGCAATTTTTATGCCCGTGTGGTTCGCAGATGGTGAAATCAATCAAGTCAGGATTGTGTAACGGTGTCGATTCTCCCGTCTCTGCCCTCACGCTCTCCCGAAACTGCGCTGCTGACACTGCTTCACTGGTCGTTTCGACACGGCCAAGGTCACAATGAAGGTCACAATGCCTTACCCCCATGCTCTCCCCAACGCCGTGAAAGCGTCTCCTCTCGATGTGAGAGAATGCCCGACACAGACCAGTGACTCCATGAGACACAGCCCCAAAAAGGAGAACATGATGGACACTCACATCTCGCACCCGAATCTGGTACCAACTTACAGTCAGGGGAGTATGTAGGGTTTCGCAATGGGGAACAGGCCCACGTAAAGTTGTTACGGACATCTTTTTATCGTTAATTAAATCATCGTCACTATTTTTCATGAATATTATTAATATTATTACTTAATGAATTAATTAAGCAATCATAATTTTATCTTTGCCGCACGCGCACAAAATTTGCTGCATGTTGTATGACCATATCACTCGTTTTCTATGTAGTCATTTTGTACGTGTTTGCTTGACTTTTATTCACTCACATTCATTCACATGCAAAAAAGTGCATGTAAAAATGTCGTAAAGCGGAACATACCCCAAGACCCTCCCACACTACACTCCTGGTCACATCCCTCCCCCTCTCCCTCCTCCCACGTCGCCTCCACCGGACTCATAAGCGGAACATACCCCAAGGCCCTCCCACACTACACCCCTGGTCACATCCCTCCCCTCTCCCTCCTCCCACGTCGCCTCCGCTGGACTCACAAGCGGAACATACCCCAAGGCCCTCCCACACTACACCCCTGGTCGCATTCTCTCCCCTCACCCTCCTCCCACGTCGCCTCCGCCGGACTCACAAGCGGAACATACCCAAGACCCTCCCACACTACACCCCTGGTCACATCTCTCCCTTTACCCTCCTCCCACGTCGCCTCCGCCGGACTCACAAGCGGAACGTACCCCAAGGCCCTCCCACACTACACCCCTGGTCACATGTCTCCCCCTCACCCTCCTCCCACGTCGCCTCCGCCGGACTCACAAGCTCCGTCCGAACTCGGGCGGGTGGCGGACGTCGTCCTCGAGCAGCACCACCACGTCGGTGGTGACGGAGAGGCCCCGCTCGCGCAGCTCCCGCGTCACCTCCTCGGCCGCCACCGTCACCCGCATCGGCTCACGCCGCGGCGTCGTCAGGTCCAGCAGCGATGACGTCACTGAGAGGTTCCCTGTGGCGGCACGTGGCGTCGGTCAAGGCTTGACCGAATTCATTGCATATTTGGCTTCGATGCTGTTGACGCTCGCAGAAGCTGGCGGTGTCTGAACCGGAAGACGTTAAATGCCTGACAGTAGGTCAGGTGCAGACCCATGGCTGAGTATGAGCTGGCGCGTGAGTGTCCTTTCTAATGCGTCTCGCTTGCTCGCGAAGGACGTCGGCATGGCGTGTTTGGCCCGCACATAATGCGGGCTAAAGAGACGGACAAACCGACCTTAAACCTCACCAACTTTGTGGATTTCCCCATCACAACAAACAGAACTGCGTAGAGGAAAAGAGAGAGAGAGAGATAGAGAGAACGAGAGAGAGAGAGAGAGAGAGAGAGAGAGAGAGAGAGAGAGAAGAGAGAGAGAGAGAGAGAGAGAGGAGAGAGAGAGAGAGAGAGGAGAGAGAGCGAGAGAGAGGAGAGAGGAGGAGAGAGAGGAGAGAGAGAGAGAAGAGAGAGAGAGAGAGAGGAGAGAGAGAGAGAGAGAGAGAGAGAGAGAGAGAGAGAGAGAGAGAGAGAGAGAGAGGAGAGAGAGAGAGAGAAGAGAGAAGAGAGAGAGAGAGAGAGAGAGAGAGAGAGAGAGAAGAGAGAGAGAGAGAGAGAGAGAGAGAGAAGAGAAGAGAGAGAGAGAAGAGAGAGAGAGAGAGAAGAGAGAGAGAGAAGAGAGAGAGAGAGAGAGAGAGAGAGAAGAGGAGAGAGAGAGAAGAGAGAGAGAGAGAGAGAGAGAGAGAGAGAGAGAAGAGAGAGAGAGAGAGAGAGAAGAGAGAGACGAGAGAGAGATAGAGAGAGAGAGAGAGAGAGAGAGAGGAGAGAGAGAGAGAGAGAGAAGAGAGAGAGAGAGAGAGGAGAGAGAGAGATAGAGAGAGAGAGAGAGAGAGAGAGAGAGAGAGAGAGAGAGAATGGAGAGAGAGGAAGGAGGAGAGAGGAGAGAGAGAGAGAGAGAGAGAGAGAAGAGAGAGAGAGAGAAGAGAGAGAGAGAGAGAAGAGAAGAGAGCAGAGAGAGAGAGAGAGGAAGGAGAGAGAGGAAGAGAGAGAGAGAGAGGTCCTGGCGCACTCCCGACTTGAGATGAAACCCCTCCGTCCCGTGAAGGGTGTCTTTTGTACGCCGGACGACTGTCACACAGGTAAAGCTTAACCCTCGCCGCGATGGGGCGGGTCAGTGCCTTCCGCCCCTAAGGCTTTCTTGGAATGTCTCCCCAGCATGTCGTGTGCAATGCCGCCCATGATTTACATGCGCCTCTGGAGCATTCATCATGCGTGTTTTACAGTAAAACCATGTCCATAACATTTTTGGTTTCTCAGAAAGGGCGAGTTTTTAGGGAACACTGCACCGTGATCTATGGCGGGTGCGGGCGGCATACAGCAACTGACGAATCCGCCGATTGCGCGCGGCGGACCGACACATTAACACTGTCCTATGGCATAAACATGCTCCAAAAACAAACTAAACTGCATATCAATGTGCCCAGAATTAAACAAGCAGCACGTACATTTGAGACTCATGTTGTTAAGTGACATGGTTCCGTAAATATGCGCATGTAAAGTTGAAACATTATTATTTTCAAGAAACTTTTGCCTTCGACCTGGCGTAGTGTGGTCATCTATTTGCCTGGCAACGTAAACCTTATTTCCAGTCGCGAGATCACGGTGGAACAAGCTGCCATTTTTTTCTGCGAGGTGGATTCTTAAATTGTAAACGGCAGGGCTTGCACGATCCCCTCCCCTCATCACTTTGCGGTATGGTAAACGGCGAATCAGGAAGAAGTTTATAGTTTAGGATATTTTGAGACACGGGAACAGCGATAGTTGAACTTAAGTCAAAACGTGACACTAGATACACCCTGTCAATCTGTGTATTAGTCCAGAGGTAGTACCTAGCAAAGAACCAGGCTTCTCCCTGAAGATCTGTGCCTACGACGCATTTTAAGTAGCATGATTGCACAAAGAGCAGGACGTAGTGGTTGGATCAGATTCAGAGCCGAAGAATGCGATTCCCCGCAGTCACTATGCAATAACAAAAAGAGGTATGCTGCGCCGCTCTACAAGTTCGTAATGCGGAACAGCCTACCCACCGCTTTCCGCAAACCGGCGGGCAGCGCGGCAGAGACTGTTGGGCGACAGCTGCAAACATTGAGACGGATGCTGTGCCGCCGAACAAATGTCAAAGTTCAGTCTACCTGCTCGTGGTGAGATCTCTTGAAGGGAATATTCCACATTTGAAGATAGTGAAGTGACAGTGATAGCATCCCATAGGATGAAACAAGCTCACTTATAACTGTCGGCATGCTTTGAAGTGGAAAAGGCTACTCACGACAACGAAGTATCTCGGCAAAAATAGCTCCCTAACGCGTCATTGTTTGATAACGGACTCGTGCCTTGTACAACATTGACTAAAAGCCAATTAACGACCGTTACATCGGGAAATCGTGCTAGTAAATGCCAGACACGAACAACTCGACGATTATATTGTTATTGGCCTTTATCGCTGCATCGCCAATGGAATGGCATGATTTGAATGACGCTACTTTTACATTACGGATGCCTGAGTGACTTTAAAATAGCCTCCGCGAAGAAGTCTGCACATCTTCGAGGGCGTGTGGCTGAAAACTAGAGCGGTTTAGGCCTTAAGAAGGACGGGGCTGTGAACTGCACCGAATGGTCTTTGACATGGCTATTTGAATTAAAAACCCCACATAGCTGTGGAACACTCCCTTTAATTCGGTTGAACGGGTTCTCAGTTGCCAGCGTTACTTTGCGTTCTGCAATGCAAGCTCCCTCACCTGCCACACGTAGGTAACGCTGTGTGAAATGGCAGGAGAACAAAAACACCGCGTGCCGTGTCACGTGTCCCACATGACATGAGATCATCTGCTGGATTGTGCTGTTGACACGGACCTGACACTCTGAACTCGGCTGCTGACACGGACCTGACACTCGGCACTCGGCTGCTGACACGGACCTGACACTCGGCACTCGGCTGCTGACACGGACCTGGCACTCGGCACTCGGCTGCTGACACGGACCTGACACTCTGCACTCGGCTGTTGACACGGACCTGACACTCTGCACTCGGCTGCTGACACGGACCTGACACTCTGCACTCGGCTGCTGACACGGACCTGACACTCCGCACTTGGCTGCTGACACGGACCTAGGATTGACAGAACTTTTTTAATCGCACTATAGCGGCCACAAAAATCAGGACACTTTCTATGCAATGCTTCATAAGTTTGGCATGCATGACGCCTGGTGTAAAGTAGATCAAGTAGAGACTTGTGTATTTCTACGGGGCACGTAAATACCTATTATTGTCTTGTAACATAAGTCACGGTCTCAGTCATCACAGTTCTAACATGACTCATCTTATCACCCGTGACCTCAGGTGAAACATGAGCCGGTCACCGGCCCGTGACCTCAGTCGAGGTACGGCCCCATCCCATCCCGTGACCCTGTGATCTCATCGATAGCCTCTGAATTCAGCTGACCGGCAGTATCAGCTGACTATGCTGGCCTCAGCGACCACGTGATCACAGTCGACTGGGGGCATCAGACAACTTGCGAATATCCAGACTGGAACTTTGACTCAGTGACACACTGACTCAGTGAAATCAGACGACATACGGCCCTGGGCGTGACCCCAGCTCCGAGGTTGGGAGGCGACACTCAGACGACATACGGCCCTGGGCTTGACCCCAGCTCCGAGGTTGGGAGGCGACACTCAGACGACATACGGCCCTGGGCTTGACCCCAGCTCCGAGGTTGGGAGGCGACACTCAGACGACATACGGCCCTGGGCTTGACCCCAGCTCCGAGGTTGGGAGGCGACACTCAGACGACATACGGCCCTGGCGTGACCCCAGCTCCGAGGTTGGGAGGCGACACTCAGACGACATACGGCCCTGGGCTTGACCCCAGCTCCGAGGTTGTGAGGCGACACTCAGACGACATTCGGCCCTGGGCTTGACCACAGCTCCGAGGTTGGGAGGCGACACTCAGACGACATAGGGCCCTGGGCTTGACCCCAGCTCCGAGGTTGGGAGGCGACACATCAGGATTCGGGGCCCAGTACGGAATCTAAGAAAAAGCCAAACCTTAAAATGGTTCTTTGGATGGGCAAACATAAAAACGTACATTGTACAGGCAAAATTGGAGAGGGCAAAATCTCATTTCGTAAACATTGTAGAAGGCGTGTGCCCCTGCCTTCCCAGTGACTACGCCCGTGCTCGCGCCGCCTCCCCCCCCCCCCACCCCCACCGCGTCCCCGTCCCCTGGCCGCTGACCTGTGACGGGGTCCATGCTGAAGAAGGTGTCGTAGCCGAGTCCGTTAGGCACCAGGCGGTACCGGATTTCCCTCTGTCCGCGCTTGTCACCGTCCACCGCCCGGAACGAGCCGATCGAGTCGCCCTGCAACAGTCCGCCGCGGCGTGGAACGAGGAACGAGGCGCGGCTGGTACGCCGGTCGGGTCACAGGTCAGGGGAGACGGTGCTGCCAGGGGTTCACCTAAGTCACAGGGAGCGCAACGTGATGGTGCAAATGGCGCATAAGAATGATGAAAAGTACAATACGGTGGCGCGTAAAGCGTGGTATGGTTAGAAGCGGGGACACGGAATGTGTTAGGTGACGGTGTGACGTGAGTCATTTCACAATAACATCTGTAGGGAAAAGGGCAGGGCCAATTGGGCTGGTAAATCCTGAACCGCATGACGGAAAACCGGGTTGATTGGCGAGTATGTTCTAAACGGCCGCTACAAGAGACAGAGAGACACTGAACGGAACACCCGACGGGAGCCTCGCCAACTGACTGAAGCCCCGCCCACTAACAGATTACCCGCTCACTGACGAAAGCTCCGTCCACTGACGGAAACTCCCCCACTGACGAAAGCCCCGCCCACTGACGGAAGCCCCGCCTACTGATGGAAGCCACGCCCACTGACGTAAGCCCCGCCCACTGACGGAAGCACCGCCAACTGGCGTAAGCCCTCTCACTGACGCAAGCCCCGCCCACTGATGAAAGCCCCGCCCACTGACCGGCTTGCTGGAGCTGCTGATCCGCAGAACGGAGGGCGGGTTGATGAAGGAGGGAGGCGTGTCTTGCTCGTCCTCAACCAATAAGATCATCGGCATGGCCACGACGTTCCGTGTGTCGAACTTCGTGTTCCTGTAGCCGTTCTGTGGACGAAACAGCCTGCGTTTATCATGGGCGTAGAAGGAGCACGGACGACCAGCACCACTTGTAGTGGCAATTTGGTGCTGTTGGTGTTGAAGCCCATGGTGGCGCATCGTAAGCGTTAAAATTTCAATACACCGCGGACGTTTGCAGTATATACCACACATGCACATTGTATAAACAATATAACGAGGGATTACTTGACAGCAGGAGGCGTGATAGTAGCTTCCTTAAGTACCCTTTTTAGCTACTTTTATGATAGATTTTTGTCTAAAAGCCTGCTTCTGTACACAACATTCAACCCGTGTCGCAAGTCATAGCGTGTTTGCAGCCAGCCCGTCTGTCTAGCCTTATCACCGCAGTTTCAGCATCCTTTGAGAGAGAAAAAAATGTAGTAAATAGTTGGCAACGCGATACATTCCTTGCCAGCTCAGTAGGCCTAATCCACATACAATAATTGTCGCATTCCTTCGTTGACAGCTCATCATGCTCAACGAGGAGCAGTAATTGTTTACCGCGGGCCGGATTCGTGGTGCCTCCCCATGCGTTTCCTGACCTCTTTCGGCCACATTTGTGGCCGTCCAAGGACACCAACCCGTCTCACTTGACCTAGATCGCCGCCTGCGGCCAAATTACAGACGATGACCTAGCGCGCCTGACTGACGCACCTGCCGCCCACTTCGACCGGCGCAGGGGCGTACTCAGGTCACGCTAGTAGGGAAGACTAGCATGGGCGGCATGTGGGCCCAAAGGAATGCGTCTGGCGCGTGCATCTATGCAAGGTTGAAAATAGCTAAGAGGCACCCACTCGAACACGGATAGAAAAGGCCGCGGTGTGGCTGGGATTGCCCGTTCCGTCGCAGTTTGAAGTATCGATTTCTGATTGGCTGCCGTTGCGACGTTTGTGGAGCTCGCCGTTTGATTGGATGTGTTCCGTCGACCGGATGTGGCTACGTCACAGTATTTCGCGGCGACGCCCAGCACACAGCAAACTGTATGCAGCGCGATTTCATAGCCGGCTGTAAATGCCGCCACGGGTTTTCTCGTATTGACACCGTCGCGTGGTGTTGAGTTTCACAAAAATCCCCAGAAACTAGTTAAAATATGCAAGTCCAGTGAAAGTGCAGGGTTTGGACTAGGTGACAGTGAAGCGCTACGTAATGCTCTGCACGGTGTCTTATACCCTGATAGTACCTGTTCTAGTACATTGGTTGATTCTTTGCACACATGCCAGCGAATTCGAGAACGACGCTCGCCGAATATGAACGATCGATTATGTTGTTGACGCGGCGAAACCAATGGTCCGTGTTCACATCCACGTGCGGTATTTTTTTTGCAAACTCGATAGAACGGACAAAGCGCGTTCAAATGTGTTTGCGTCTCCATCTTGCGTGAGGCGGTGCAGATGGCTTTGAATCGCCCGACATGTTTTTCCACGCACAAACCCCATTTGCCAATTATCGGGTGTTTTTGTAGCAGCATCGGACGTCGTTCCGGTGTCGGTATTGGAAGTCATTAGCCCGTAAGTTCCAGGTCAAGTCGGCAAAAGATCCGCTGAATGGGTAAATTGCAACCAAAGAATAAGAAACTAAGGCAAACCGTGGTTTTGGCAATGGGCGAGCTTAGAAGCCCGTTGAGGTATTGATCCTGAGGTTCTCTTGATGGACACGAACAACCTTCACACGGAATGATGAGCTTTTGAAGTGGCATCGCTTACATTGAGCCTATACGTAGCCTGCAAGAACAGTGTTTGAAATGACACGTAGCCAAGGAGAGAGCTCCGTCTTCCTTTGAGCTCACCCCCCCCCCCCCCCCTCCCCCTCTTCCCTTCCTCCGACCAAGTCCCAGTTCACCCGCAAACTAAATATCCTGGCACCCTAAAATATTGTTACTTTTATAAATATACTATTTATATAAATACTTACTTGCTATACATAAATATTGTAAACTTATACAAACAGTGCGCTATCCACGCCGCATACGCCAGCACCATCCCTGCAGAGAGACCGTCGTCCAGCATCATCCCTGCAGAGAGATCGCCACCCACTACCATCCCTACAGAGAGATCGCCACCCAGTACCATCCCTACAGAGAGACCGCCACCCAGTACCATCCCTACAGAGAGACTGCCACCCAGCACCATCCCTACAGAGAGACTGCCACCCAGTACCATCCCTGCAGAGAGATCGCCACCCAGTACCATCCCTACAGAGAGACCGTCGTCCAGCACCATCCCTGCTGAGAGACCGTCGTCCAGCCATCCCTGCAGAGAGACCGTCGTCCAGCACCATCCCTGCTGAGAGACCGTCGTCCAGCACCATCCCTGCAGAGAGACCGTCGTCCAGCACCATCCCTGCAGAGAGACCGTCGTCCAGCACCATCCCTACAGAGACCGCCGTCCAGCACCATCCCTACAGAGAGGCCGTCGTCCAGCACCATTCCTACAGAGAGATCGCCACACAGCACCATTCCTACAGAGAGATCGCCACCCAGCACCATCCCCACAGAGAGACCGTCGTCCAGCACCATCCCTACAGAGAGACCGCCGTCCAGCACCATCCCCACAGAGAGACCGTCGTCCAGCACCATCCCTACAGAGAGACCGCCGTCCAGCACCATCCCCACAGGGAGACTGTCGTCCAGCACCATCCCTACAGAGAGACCGCCGTCCAGCACCATCCCTACAGAGAGACCGTCGTCCAGCACCATCCCTACAGAGACCACCGTCGTCCAGCACCATCCCTACAGAGAGAACGTCGTCCAGCACCATCCCTACAGAGAGAACGTCGTCCAGCACCATCCCTACAGAGAGACCGCCGTCCAGTGCAGGGCAACCGATCCCAAGGCCAGGGCCGGAGGGCGGGGTGTGGTCTGGAGCGTGGTCACGAACGGCAGCCGGCCGCACCATCGGCCGCATCGACCAGTCACGTGATAATTGGCGGCGGCGAGGACATCAGGCGGCGAGGACAGGCGGCGAGGACGTCGTGATAGGGTCGTCACGCCGCGGGCCGCGGCAACGGCCGCCGTCTCCTGAAGATACCGCTACCGATCAATACCGCTAAACCACACGAATAAATGATGGCTATAACTTAATGAAATGAATGATATTAGAACAATGCTTGATAAATAAATGAGTTTTAAATTTTGATGCTTCTCTTCCCATCCATCTAACTATTCACATGAATTTTGGATACAAATCTTACATCAAAACTGAAAACTTGTATGCCGAGATAGAAAAATGTACAATAAACCGAAAGGCCGCATTGGACAATCTTGCCAACATACACCCATTATACGCAGACCTGCGAAGCGACATGTGGGGATTGTGTTGACGGGATCTTTTTCTTGCAGTACATCTTAGGCCCTTCTCCCCTTCTCTCGTTCCTTTTTATGACAACGGAAGAGGGATGAAATGGAACAATGGAGTTCGTTTGCGCCCAGTCTTAAGAAAACCCGACCAGATCCTACGAGATATCAGGGTATGATAGAGAGCTCCTACGTTTATTTCAGTCGAATACAAATCTCGAGCAGCGAGACAAACGCGGCGTCAGCAAACAATTACCGAAAACTAACCTGACACGCCTTAGACGCCTACCATTCATACAAAAATCCCGCGTCATGCTACTGGATGGCAGATCAAGAAACCAATCAGAAAACAGCTTCGTTCCAGGTATAGGAATCACCCTAAAACCCAAGGAGACAACATCAACGGCGCCATCGGAACGGAAACTGTCGCACGAAGCGTGCGGGCGACCCAGTTCGAAAGGAGATTGGAAACGGTGTGACCTGATTAGTGGGGCTTGCCAGACACGGACAGGCGGGGGGGGGGGGGGGGGGCGGGGGGACACCACAGAGCAGGGGGCGTCACGTAAGGGGACATAGTCACTACCGTGCAGAAATGCATCTTTAAGGTGAATTCCCGATACTTTTTCCTTTGGGTCTTTCTAACGCGATGAATGATTTGGTGCGGTATTGTACAGGATAACTGGCGACGTCCTTGAATAAAAATAAAAATCGATGACCGGGGAACTAACTATTCCTGTAGAAAGCCTTGCTGGCCCGTCTAGCAGGGCAACGTTCGCCCCGTAATGAATGGCTCCGATGAATGAATACGTCGGGAAGGCGCGACATGATCCATTAGCCACGGTCATTTGAGCCTGAGCGCTGCGAAGGGGCGCCGTCCAAAGAACAGCGGGTCGCAGCGACCGTGAAGCTCGCCTGCAGGTGAACACACGCCTACAGACCAGCGCGAGACGGGTGTTGACCTAGCGACGGCCCAGCCCGGTCTCGGGTCTCGCGCCGGGCTCATGCGCTCCATTGTTGTGCCGTCAGCCTTTTACACGGTACCGCCCTGGTTTCTCGGTACGAAAACAAAGAACGCGTGAAATATTAGGTGGAGGAATTTTTGTGTGGAACTAATCATCTTTAGAGCAATGATGGTAAGAGCACATTACGTGCAATTGAGCAGTTTCATGGTGTATTGTCTTGTCCTCAGTTCTGTTTTCGCGATGATTAGAAGCATATCATCGTTCTATACCACTCAACGGTATGTGCTAGAACCATTTTGGAAAAGGGAGCTGACGGCTCTTTAATCATCCTAGCCACATCTTTGCGATGACGCCCAAACGATTAGCCACTTGAATCCCATCGTCTCGGTTGGAATCGGGATCGGTTATCGGCATCAGCTACCTCAGTCTGTCACTGGTTCCGGTTGTGGGTAGCTTGCATCAGTGCTACCGGGATTACTTGTTCTATCTGTCGGGATTATTCATTCTCAGGGGATACCGCTTATAGGCATCATTTCTTGGTGGCGTTTAGCCGTATCGATCGTCGTTGACGGGCTTTGGTGACGTTTATCGATATCGGTCGTCGTTGACGGTTTTTGGTGGCGTTCATCGGTATCGGTCGTCGTTGACAGTTGTTGGTGGCGTTTATCGATATCGATCGTCGTTGACGGTTTTTGATTTCCGGTATTGAGAAGCGGTTTTCGTTGTCAGACATCAGGATGATCTCTAGGGAATCAGCCACGGGAATAGCAGCAGCACTGCTCATCATTGGAATCGAATATCCGCACTGAATACGGATATCAATTATCATTTCCGATTCGCATCGATATCAGAGCCTCACCTCGGCAAAGACGGTGAACTCGATGAGGTTTTCCTGTTCAAAATCCAACTTTTCCTTCAGAATGATGTCAACTGCCGCGCCTCCGCTGATGAGACGTGTGTTCTGTAACATTAGAGCACTCGTCCCCTGCAAACAGGGAACAGGGGTGACGTCATCAATTGCTGACGCCATCAGACATACTGTGACGCCATTAGGTAAGCGCTATCAGACAAGCGTTACCAGACAGCATTATCAGAAAACATTGTCAGACAAGCGTTACCAGACAGCATTATCAGAAAACATTGTCAGACAAGCGTTACCAGACAGCATTATCAGAAAACATTGTCGGACAAGTTATTAGACAGCCGCCGATCGATATCATCAGACAAGCAATGACGTCATTAGAACGTCACTGACGTCATCAGACCGCTACTGACGTCACCACACGGTGGCATGTCTCCCAGAGCGGCAGGTGAGCTCTCAGGTGGGAGGAGGTGGTACGGCTTCCACTGCGCTCGTACGAGTCCGTCAGCCTCGCTCGACGCTCGTTTCCCTCCAAGTCGCCTCGTTTTTTACTTGTTCTCTGCGCAGTTTCCCCGCCTCGTTTCCCTCCAAGTTTCTGTCCCGCTCGCCGTCGTAGGCGAGCATTGAAACGCGCCCAGGTAGCCGGTTGCGTGCCCTTCGCTCGGGTGGGGTTAATTTCACCTTCTCGCTCGGGTGATCTCGTTAAGATCACCTTCTGGCTCGGGTGGGGGCTAATTTCATCCCCAATGAGATCTCGGAAACTAAAAGAGCAAGAAGCACCAAATTTACAGTGTATTGGCCTGTACATGAACTCACTTGGATCAAAATTTTAAGATTCCTTGGTCATGACCTTCGGGTCAAGTAAGATCAAACAAGGTCTAACTCCTGATTGGTGGCCAAAGTGACCCGGAGTTTCTCATGCAACCACCGTGTACCTCGATACCTGTTCTAGTAAAAGGTCACTGGTGCTTATTTGATGTCAGTGACCTTGTGTGACTTTTGGAAGGTCATGGCAACCAAAATCATACAGGACTGCTTTGACTTTTGCCTTTGAACGAGTGTCAATGATTACGTTAAGACGCATGTTCCGAAGACAAAGTGTTGATCTGAGTCATTTTAGGTCGGTGACTTATTCCGACCAGTAAGAAGTCCATGGAAGATGGGTAATGCTGTTCCTGTTATCAATAAACTTAAAATATGCACCAGAACCTAACCCAAACAGCAAGCTAGAAAAATCAAAGAAGTTGGTCTTGACTTTGTTGTGACCTTCGTACCCAGCCCCAGGGAAACATAATTTGTTAATTGAATTATTGTATTGCCATAAATAAATCATCTCAGAGATGCATGGCTTCGTCTAACACTCCGTTGTTGCATCAGACTGAACGACTCCCTAGAAATCGCCTTTTGCAGAATTCACAACCAGACTTTGACCTTTCGTAGGTCAGTAACCTTACAAGGTAGATCTAAATGTCTTATACCAAACGATGCGCTATTCGATTGTCTGTGGCTATTAAACAATAGCTAAGTATAAAAAATAACTATAAAAATTGGGCGTGGCTACTCAGCGCCGATCGGAAATAATTCCGAAAAACCCTTCGGAGCTCAAATTGAGCCCCGCCTCGAGGTCGTGTTAAGCCTGACGTTGAACGGACGCGTCGGCTTGCACATTTGCTCGGAGCAACAGCCAGTCACTGTCGCCTCCGCGTGCATCGACCTGCGCCAGCGGGCTTGCACTGACCCGCTTCAGGGGCGGGGCTTAATGTCGGTGACATTGCGAACGTTGTTGGCGCGGCAGCTCACTCGCCCGAAGGTCGGGCTTAATGTCGGTCACGGCGCGGCCAGCTCACTCACCTGAAGTTCGGGCTCAATGTCGGTGACATTGCGAACGCTGTCGACATGGCCGACTCACTCACCCGAAGGTCGAACTTGATGTTTTGCGCCCCTTTCCTGGCTCGGATCGTCTTCAGCTTCGTCCCGACCGCAGTGTTCTGGCGAAAAATAAACAAATGCGGCAGTGAGCTGAAGCGCAGTTCCGTGCGTGTTCTGGTTCCATGGCGCCACCACCGATGTTCGTTAGAAACTGCTACGGCACAGCTTTGCATGTTGTCACCCTCAGAATGCACCGGGATAATCGTGGTTTGGTTCTCGCATGTGTCGCGACCGGCAGGTGACAGGTGAGATCGAAGCATCCAAATTCATGTCTTGCGCAGAAAACAGTCAAGGCCAACCAGGTGGAGTACTCACGACATCGACTTAACCCTCGCTCGCGCTCTTTAATTCCCCACACCCGGCGACCCAGGGGTTGGTCGGTACATCATTTCCGTTTTCCCGCTGGATGCCAGAAAGCGCTGATCAAAAAACGGAGGAAAATTTTCGTACATAATCTGCAGTCTTAATGCATACCTTGTGGCCTTTCTTCAGGCTGACAAGCCAGATCAGATTGAATGAGAAGAATTTACGTCCTGACAATTTACATGTAGACTAACGTTGCCCTACGGGTAACGTTTTCCAAGCTCGGACGTGCAGCAATTACTTTGCATGAGTAATGAAAGAGCACCAATAGGTGTCACATTTCTTACAGTGATCTTGATCTTGGATTAACTTGCACTTGCAATGTTCATGATCTATGGTATTCTGCATTTAGCTGCAAATACTTAGCCGGTTTTGAAACGCTGATCCCGACTTTGGTACTGCGTGACATTTCCACCACCACTGACAAATCTTGCCACTTTTTATTAATGATATGAAGAGCCCGAATAGTGATCTGAACCACTTCACAAAGCTCCTGATGCGGTGTTGACCTCGCTTGACCCTAACGACCACGGGAGTTGACAGAGCTACATGCTATACTTTCAGAGGAGGGGGAAGGTCTGGTGCGCGTCAGGGAGAGAGCGGGTCGTGGAGCGCCGGGGAACCACATTTTCGCCGCGGACAACACCGCTGGTGACCTTGTGACCACGTGTGACCTTGAAAGGATCCAAACAGTAAAATCCAAGTAATCAGCATAGATATTTGAAATCATACCAACTCTAAACGCGTTAAGATGCGCCGAGCAGTGCTGACGATGAAGCACAAGCCAGAGGAAACTGCGTCGTCCACCACGCCTGCCCCGAGAATATGGCTCATGGTGGGAGTTGGAACCGTCCGACAACGTACGGGAGGAGGTAAGGGGTTTTCAAGAGCTAATTCTGTCAGGCGTCAGCGTAGAAGTGAATATTACGTCCTTAAAAGACTTTCGAGACCTGGCTTTCTCCAATAGTTTCTAAAGTGCTAAAAGGCACACACCAAGTACGTCCACTCTATGGCGTTCCCAAAAATTAAATGAAATAAGACTGCGGGACGCTTTACCTGAAAGCAAGGTTAAGTACGCCATAGAAGTAGTAAGTGTGCTAGTGCTTGCACGGAGTAGCGAAGGCTCATAGCCCCCCCCCCCCCCCCACCCCCCAACTCCTGCGCAAACCCGACCTACTAGGAGCGTCTTATTTCGTAATCGCATACTGCCGCGCTTAGTAGGTCATGTTGATACAAAGGCTGGTTGTTGGAAGCCCTTCTGAATGCATGACAGAGCAGACAGAACAAATATCATCTTGGCTGCTCTCAAGTGGCAAATATGACAGGAAATTTATTGTTTCCGCCGGTGAAACCTGCCCACATGACACAAATGATGAGGCAACTGCGTCCAGGATCGCAGTGTCAGACCACGATTCTCTTGGAGTTCGAACAAAACAGCAAAATTCGCAACAATAAGGATCTCATTTCCCGCACAGATGCGCCTTGGAGAGCACCTTATTTCCCGCAAAGAAACGCCTCGGAGGGCACCTCGTTTCCCTCATAGAGACGCCTCGGAGGGCACCTTATTTCCCTCACCAGAGACGCCTCGGAGAGCACCTCATTTCCCCCACAGAGACGCCTTGTAGAGCACATCACTTCTCTTACTAGAGACGCATCGGAGACTATCTCATTTCCCGCACTAGGGACGCCGAGACACTCTCGACAGATCGTCAGACACCCACCAGAGGCCTGGTGCTGTTGTCAGTTGTTATCACTTATATGATCACCGTTCCTCCAACGCGGTATGGCGTTTGCAGCAGCGATGCCCGCGTTCCCCGTAAGTGGGTCACAGGCAGGGCGGGGGTCGTTACTTCGCCTAGGGCCGGACCGCCCGGCCGGCCCTAAACGTCCGCTGTACATGCACTCAATACACGTTATTGATCTGTGACGCTGCAGAACAGGCGCGGGCCCAGCGGACTCGATGGGGGAGGAGCGGGGGACACGGTAAACAAGTTGGGCAAAAGTAGCCGAAAACAAGATAGCAGGCTCAGCTCACCTGGATTTCAACAAGTGAGTTTTTTTATGTTCGGACTCGCTACTTCAACGCCTTTTGCCGTCCCTGGCAGTCGGCGGTTTTCGCAGGCGCGAGCATGAATGCTGCATGAACTCATTAGCCCCCAGCAGCCGACATGCAACGTGAGCGCCTGTCCCCCAAAGACTGCCCCATGTCGCCAGCTCCTACCAGCAGGGGCAACTTGAGTCGTCAGTGACAGCGGCCTCCTGCTCCAGGCTGGGTGGTGGCGGCCTGAGCGGGCCCTCAGAAGCTTCGTGAGCCTACGACGCCATTCCTGAAGGGCCGCGTGGTTTGTTCGCAGAATGTCCGTGCGAAATGCTGCAGTCGGCGAATTCGGTGAACGGTGTTGTTTACGAGGCGGCCATTTTCTGTTCTGCATGTCACGGAACACCAGCGGCCGTCGAACTGAATGCAGGGAATGTTTTGAATTTGGTGTGTGAAGAGAGTGCTAGGCAATAGACAGGCATCTGAAGTCCCCCACCCAAAAAGATCCCAGGATCTGATTCACACGGAACCCTATAGAACACTAAAACCAGCCTCGGGATCCAGCCGCATGCCGACCAGGTAGTGTTTTCCGTAGTTTGTAGGTTAATTCTGAGTCCGTCCAGCTAGATCGGCCGGTTAGAACGCCTGCCTGCCTCTTGATTCACCACTCGGGGCGGGGTGGGTCCGAGTCGCTTTGGGCGCGCACTGTTTCCTCCTGACCGGGCTGGCCTGAGGCCGAGCGAACGGGATGGCCAGGAAAGCCTCATATCACACATCCGCGGCAAATTCGCCGGCTTCGGAAGCATCCACCCTCGAAACGTGCTTTTTTCTTCCACCACCCTGTGAAAGAGTTTGCATCACCTCAGAAAAAGCTTGGAGCGATTAGAGCAAAAGGTAACGCCTTCGCCTCACCTCGGACACCCGGAGCGGCTTAATGAGCTCCAGGAAGGTCTGGTCAAGGCTGCTGCGCCCGCTCGAGGCCTTGACCTTAGCCGTGACCGTGGTGACCTCGCCGCTCGTGTCGCGCACGCGCAGACGGAAGGCCGAGGTCGCGCCCCGCCTCCAGCGGGCGCTTCAGCAGGATGTCCGCCACGCAGAAGTCGTCGTAGCTGGTGCAGTTGTAGGTGACGATGTCGGCTAGCGTCCGGCCCACCGTGTCTGCCGAGGAGAAGGGGAGTGGCGGTGTCACAAGAAAGGCTGTCGGATGAAAGAATGCCCGCGGGGTGTTTCTGTGCCGCAGGCAAACGGGCAGCCTATCCCCGTCTCGGATCAGAAAGCCTTGGGATGGGACGAAATTATAATCATATTATAACTATATTCTAATTCTGCCGAGCCGACATCGCGCTGTGGTATGACACGCTGCGTAGTTAGACAGTCGCATAGTCTAGTTATGCAGTGCACTCGATTAAGCTCCAGACAAGGTACGACGCGATACCAGACAAGTACGCTACGAGTTCGAGCAGTTTGAGGCGGATGAGATAACTGCAGAGTAACTGACGTAGAAGGAATCAACCGTCCACGAGGTATGACCTACTTACTGTAGTACATAGCATACTCCTCGCAGCCTACGATATATTTGAAAAGGTAACGCTTGCATACGGCATGTGCTTGCTGCAGAGAAATACTGTCATGAATTACGGAGACTCAGTGAGACTCGTTGGACTAGCTCTCACGTATCCATAAATATTCATTTAGTGGAGATTAATAACTTGAAAAACCGCACAAACCACTATGCATGTGGCTGATATACCAGCGACATAGCCTCGGGGTGCGGTGTGTGACTTGGAAAGCAGCTTTTCACGCTGCTGGTTGCTTAGCTCCAAAATATGTTTGGTATAGTTGGAAAAAAAATTAACAAAACCACTGCTCAGGCTCGACAAATTGTTATGCGTGAAGCATTCGTACATTCCACGATGCATTGTCCAACTCCCTGCGAAATGAGTTCTCCCCATTCATAAGTCAGACCGGTCATAGGACCAGCTTGGCTCAGGACACTCTCAATCAGCATCTCTGCTCAGCTGACAGCGGTATCCGAGCGTCATCCGCGATGCATAATCACGGACAACCTCACGGACAATCACGGACACGGACACAATAATCACGGACAATTACGGACACGGACACAATAATCACGGACAATTACGGACACGGACACAATAATCACGGACAATTACGGACACGGACACAATAATCACGGACAATTACGGACACGGACACAATAATCACGGACAATCACGGACACGGACACAATAATCACGGACAATCACGGACACGGACACAACAATCACGGACAGTTTCCCGGGAGCGTCCACGCACACGCAGTTTAGGGCGAGTCTGCAGAGCCCTGCGCAGCCGTCGGCCCACAACAGCGGCGGAATTGCCTTACTCTGTTTCCAGAACCGTCGATGCGGTCGATATCCTGACGCACAGTCGTTGGAAGGCGCGAGCGTTTTCCCACGCGTCAACACGGGCGGTCGCCGTGGCGTAGGTCCCCTGTTTGTGGGCCCTCGACTTCGGTCACGTGGCGAGGTGGGCCCGGTGGCCGAAGAGCGGCTTGTGTAAAGCCTGTCCTGGACGTATGGCACGTGAGTGCAGCATCTAGGTCATTTTAACAGTTTCCAATCCTCTCGTTGCCCACTTTGGGTGATGATGAGTCATACAGTATGAATTGATGGTGAGCTATGGAACGAAACAAATTTTCAAGGATAAAATACCAGACACTCATACTCGCGACACCCAAGACGTCATAACAGCATCGGATGCGCCTCCGCTTGGATTATCATGCGTCACCTCACCGGATCTGCACGTCGAAAAAGGTCCTTATTTACCGTAGTCCTCTCCTTTCCGTGTGCCGTACCTGCCGGCGCGCGGCGGGCGGCGAGGGTGTGTGCGGGGCGCTGTCCCCTCCACCTGTTTATGCTAATCAATACGGGCCCGGCGACCGAGGGGTAGGCGTCCCCTAGTCGGCCGACGACTGATGGAGCTGATGCCTGTGTGGCCCGGCGAAACGGACAGGAACCAACAGACTACCTTGAGGCACGCTGCGTGGCTAGCGAGACCCGAGTGCTCTAGCAGGACCAGTGTTCGTGTTACAGTGAGTTCGCTATTGCCAAATGCCGAGTCAAAGTGTCTAACGAGGTCTGCAAGGCAAAGGCACCGATGTGCAAGCACCTTGACGACTAGGAGACACTTTCACAGTCGAAAATACAAACAACCCAAGTTGACCGAGTTTCAATGTCTGAGCCAATCCGTTGTCCAAGCGGCATTATCCGGACCACCCACATAGGTGGGATTTTCCAGAAATAATGCAGTTGAGAAAACGTGACAGATCACGTTTGACGGTCGCGTGAAGGTCGACGCTTTGGAGCGTGTGGACTAAGCCGGTATAGCGCCGCCGCGGAACATGCCAATTGTGCATGCGGCATGTGACGCGACGTCATGCCACAAGCAAGGTCTCGCCTACTTACCAGTGAGGTACTTAAATAACCTTCTTACCGGAACTCATCACAAAAGCACCACGTAATCTGCCTTGTGGCTTTGTGAAATGGCTCGTGATGCGGCACTTCGTGACGGTTGAAGACACGGGAGGGTTTACACTGTGCGTTAAATTATTTGCATTCATTCAAATTGCATCGGCATCTACCAATAGTTTTGTGAAGACATTTTCCAGCTGTGGTCAGGATTGTCATGGGAATACGAGAGGTAAAGACCAAAAACGTGCCAGTAGTAGCGGAAAGCATCAGGAACTTTAATGTTCGTACCTTATATTTCATTAGCCTTTATTATCAGTCCGCTAGTGACAACGTAAATGAATATGCTCAGCACATATTGTGCTGGATACCATTTCCTGCCTCACTACTCATCACCTTTTCTGTAATCTACTGCCACTTATTTTAACATCCAACATTTGTTCCCAGTTTTCTTTGTTCTATTCCGATTGGCTGTATGTTAGGCAAATACTGGATAGGCTGCAACACTGACAAACGTTTCACATTCAAGTATTTTTAAAACAGTTTTAAATTTGAGCATTCTTTTTTATCAGCTGATGATGTAGCAGGTTAAACTTTGCGTATCACAACTGCAATGCTCTGAAGATATGATTACCATTTCTAATTAATAATCTACACATTAATCAATTAGCCATCATCTATAAATATTTCACTAGTCACGCGCTAAAAGCCTGCGTGCCTCCCGCCCCATTCCCTCCCCTTCCTAGATCAGATGATCGTCAGCGTTGCGTGCAGCGACTGGTAAATTCGGAATGATCCCCTCTGCTAGCGTCAAAAATAATGACGCCCTCAGTTAAGTCAACACTCATTCACAGAATAACATTCGTGCCAGAATCACAAAGAAGCCGCAATTAACAGAAACTGTGTGCAGTGAACAAATCATGGTATGCATATTTCATACTGTCCGTCCGCCAAGCGCGGCCGAGCAAGCAAACAAGCCGCCAAGCGACGGGGCATTACGAAACCCGTGCCCGGCAGCATCATGCATACCTCATTATGCGCCATCAGGCATCATCATGCGTCATCATGGACCACCGCACGGGACCACTGCATGGCCAACGGTCCAATGATCGCGGATCCTGTCGGTCCTGTGGTCCTGTGGTCCTGTGGTCCTGTGGTCCTGTGGTCCTGTGGTCCTACGGTCCTGTGGTCCTGTGGTCCTGTGGTCCTGTGGTCCTGTGGTCCTGTGGTCCTGTGGTCCTGTGGTCCTGTGGTCCTACGGTCCTGTGGTCCTCGTCTCGTCTGGTGACCGTGGGCGTGTCCGCATGTGCTTCATGCTGTACGGCCGTGATGTGCTACGGGCTGGGGCCGCGGCTCCCACGTCGGGCTCGGGATCAAATGCCGGCTGTACCATGGCCCCCGGGCAGCAGCACAGCCGGGGTGTTCATGGCCTGTCGGTGATGGTGAGGGCGGGGGCAGGGGAGGAGTGGGGCTCGGTGGTTATTTTTAACATAAACTGAAGAAGGTCACACGTTCAGCTTGCTTGGATGCATCCAATCACTGGTAACGATCCGCTGCACTCTCCAATCTTAAGTGTACGCCAATACCTAACTTTTCATCAGGAGTCATCCACATTGTTAAATAAGAAATGAAGGGCCTCACTTCACATGCATGAGAGCATGAGCCAATGCTTAACACTGAGAACCACGAGAAGGTACAATTTTTTCGTGGCACAGCATAGGTGTTAAAAAATGAAGCCTAGTGTCCGCATTTTTCTGAACTTTATACGTATCTTTTTTACAGGCTCTCGAAAACCAATGACTTTGTTAGCCCTTACCCCTGTTTCCCCGCAGCGCGAGGCTCAAACTGTCCGAAAACTATCTACAAGCCCATACCCTCTGTAATGTCGCTTTCTGCAATGCATAATGTGAACATCAGATAACATCAGTGGGACATCGCATGCTTTCGGAAGTGGAAAATTGTTCATGGATTCGCTTTTTATTGTTTACGTTTAGCACGTACATTACGTTTGTTTACCTCGATCTATACCTATCTTCCCAACGACCCAATATTCCCACCAACATTCCCACCGGCACTCCCTGGAGTTTCGATGCCGACTGGCGATGCCTCCCCGCTCCCCTACCCCTCCCCTCCCTCTTGTGTACCAGCCAATCCACCGATGACACTCGGCTCTGACGAAGTCCGTCACGCGCGACCTTGCCGCGCCGCCATCAACTGATCCATACCGCGGCGCACCGACTGATGACGTCACTGGATCACAGGCCGCCGTGGCCTGCGACCCAGCAATGGCACGCGGAGAAAGGGCAGAACCCGAGGACTGGCGAAACTCCTCGTCCTCATAGTGCCGCTGGCTGAAGCGCCTGCATTCCGAGTTACCTGCTGCCTGAATCCGACAGGGTTCGATTTGCGTTAGGGTTCGATTTGCGCTCGCTGCCTGCCCCTGAATGAAACGGCTTGAGGCCGGTGGCAGCGGTCGCGTCAAAGATCAGGTGACGTCAGAGGCCAGGTCGGACCATACAGAGCATTGCGGCACATTGCTTTCTCCGTAAAACTAAGACGCTGACCCGGCTTTCACCATCGCATGGCGTGGTCAGAACTGACGCAACAAGCGCCGCTTATCGCAGGCGCTGTTCCCAGACATTCAGGCAATTAAAAGATTCGGACCAATCGTTAAAAAATCAACTGGCG